TCACTGTAGCCTCAAACTGCTGGGCTCAAGCAATCCCCTCACCTCAACCTCCTGAATATCCGGGATTACAGGCTGAGCTGCCATGCCCAGCTAAAGGGGCTTTCTTGTTTGTAAAGTGTTAAAATGCTTCTTTGCCTCTGCTTTCACAAGAAAATGCATATAAAAGTGCTTTAAGAGAGGAAACTATCTATTAGTTTGTTAGGATTGCCAGAACAAAGAACTGTAAGCTGGGTGGCTCCAAATAACATAAATTTATTGTCCCACAATTTGGAGGCCAGAAGTCTGAAACTGAGGTGTTGGCACGGTTAGTTCCTTCTTGGGAAATCTGAGAGAAAATCTGTTTCATGCCTGTCTCCTAGTTTCTGACAGCTGTCATCAATCCCTGTCACTCCTTGGCTGTGACACCATCACTCTGAGAGGTGACACATCTCTGCCCCCATCATCACATGGCATTCTCCCTGTGTGTCTGTGTCCAAATCTCTTGCTTTTTTTTTTTTTTGAGATGGAGTCTTGCTCTGTTGCCCAGGCTGGAGTGCAGTGGCGCAATCTCGGCTCACTGCAACCTCCGCCCCCTGGGTTCAAGCAATTCTTCTGCCTCAGCCTCCTGAGTAGCTGGGATTACAGCCATGTGCCACCACGTCTGGCTAATTTTTTGTATTTTTAGTAGAGATGGGGCTTCACCGTGTTAGCCAGGATGGTCTCAATCTCCTGACCTCGTGATCCGCCTGCCTCAGCCTCCCAAAGTGCTGGGATTACAGGTGTGAGCCACCGCACCCGGCTGTCTTGCTTCTTTTAAGGACATTAGTTATTGGATGAGGTCCACCCTAATGATCTGATTACATCCACAAAGATCCTGTTTCCAAATACAGTCACATTTGCAGGTCCCAGGGCTTCGGGCTTGAACATATCTTTTTGCAGGGGGCACAATTCAACCCATGTCATCTTCACCATCAGCATCATCTTTGTCATCATGATCACAGAAAATCAATGTTAAAAAACTCACCAAGGCTGGGCGCGGTGGCTCAAGCCTGTAATCCCAGCACTTCGGGAGGCTGAGATGGGCGGATCACCAGGTCAGGAGACCGAGACCATCCTGGCTAACACAGTGAAACCCCGTCTCTACTAAAAATACAAAAAACTAGCCGGGTGAGGTGGTGGGCGCCTGTAGTCCCAGCTACTCAGGAGGCTGAGGCAGGAGAATGGCATGAACCCGGGAGGCGGAGCTTGCAGTGAGCTGAGATCCGTGCACTCTAGCCTGGGCGACAGAAAGGAGAATCCGTCTCAAAAAAAAAAAAAAAACCAAAAAAAAAAAACAAAAAAAAAACCCACCAAGGCCGGGTGCAGTGGTTCAGGCCTGTAATCCCAGCACTTTGGGAGGCCGGGGTGGGCAGATCACTTGAGGTCAGGAGTTCGAGGCTAGCCTGGCCAACATGGTGAAACCACGTCTCTATTAAAAATACAAAAATTGACCAGGCGTAGTGGCTCATGCTGTAATCCCAGCACTTTGGAAGGCCGAGGCAGGTGGATCACCTGAGGTCAGGAGTTCAAGAGCAGCCTGGCCAGCACGGTGAAACCCCATCTCAACCAAAAATACAAAAAAATTAGCTGGGTGTGGTGGCAGGCACCTGTAATCCCAGCTACTTAGGGAGGCTGAGGCAGAAGAATTGCTGGAACCCATGAGGTGGAGGTTGCAGTGAGCCAAGATTGTGCCATTGCACTCCAGGCTGGGTGACAAGAGTGAAACTCTGTCTCAAAAAAAAAAAAAAAAAAAATCAGTTGGGCATGGTGGCGTGAGCCTATAATCCCAGCTACTCTGGAGGCTGAGGTGGGATAATTGGTTGAATGCATGAGGCAGAGGTTACAGTGAGCTGAGATTGCGCCATTGCATTCCAGCCTGGGCAATAGAGTAAGACCTGTCTCAAAACACACACACACGTGTGCGTGCACACACACACACCCCCCAAAACTGCATTATCAATCAGCAAACTGAATCTGCTTGGTTTTATGTGGAATTGCCACCTTGCCTTAGTAGTCCACTTTGACTCTAGAAAGGTGGTGATAAATTTGCAGGATCCCACCAGGTGCAGCGGCTCATGTCTGTAATCTCAGCACTTTGGGAGGCCGAGGCAGGCAGATCCCTTGAGGCCAGGAGTTCAAGACCACTCTGGTCAACATGGTGAAACCCTGTCTCTACTAAAAATACAAAACATTGGCCAGGGGCTGTGGCTCACGCCTGTAATCCCAGCGCTTTGGGAGGCCGAGGTGGGTGGATCTTGAGGTCAGGAGATCGAGACCATCCTGGCTAACACAGTGAAACCCCGTCTCTACTAAAAATACAAAAAATTAGCTGGGCGTGGTGGCGGGCGACTGTGGTCCCAGCTACTTGGGAGGCTGAGGCAGGAGAATGGCATGAACCTGGGAGGCAGAGGTCGCAGTGAGCCAAGATCACACCGTTACATTCCAGCCTGGCGACAGAGCGAGACTCCGTCTCAAAAAAAAAAAAAAAATTACCGGGGAGTGGTGGTGCACGCCTGTAATCCCAGCTACCTGGGTGGTTGAGGCACACGAATCACTTGAACCTGGGAGGTGGAGATTGCACGTAGCAGAGATCGAGCCACTGCACTCCTGCCTAGGTGACAGAGCCAGACTGTCACAAACAAACAAACAAATAAACAAACAAACCTGATTTGCAGAATCCTGGGAGAGACAGAGAAAGGGCTCTGCTTCTCTAACTACAGGCATGCATTCATCGCCTGGGTGTCTTGTCAAAATACCTACCCTGCTTCAGCGTGCTTGGGGTGGCCTGACATTCTGCATTGCTGTCAAGCTCCCAGGGGATGGCTTTGCTGCTGTCCACAGATCACACTGTGAGTAGGGTCTGATGGTTTTCTACCATACAGGCCTCTGCCCTGCCTAAGGCCCAAGCACCTTTGAGGAGCCTGGCCACTCACCCTCTTCCTCCCATGACCTTTATGATAGCAAGAGCCAGCCTAGCAGGTTTCATATGTGTCACTTTTCCCTTAGGTAGTCCCAGCTGTGACACCTTTCCCTACCTAACTGGTCCCCCTGTGTAGCGTGTGCTCTTCTTAGCCTCCATTAGTATTCCAGTGAGCCCACCTCGCAACAGTGAGACGTATCAGGGAAGGCGAGAGGAAACTTAGCATAAAGGAGGACTGCAAACACATCAGAACACAAAACACACACATTCAGCCAAAAGACCCCCTTTCCTGGACTCCATCCAGACCCGTCCCTTTATTATTTTTGTTCTCTTTCCTCTTTAACTAGATCTTGCCTGAAAACAGCCTGGGCGTTGCTAAGGGAACGCCTTAGAGCCTCCCCGAACACATCATTGTTTAATTCCAGCACAGGCAGCCCAGAGGAATTTGCTATTTGTTTAAGAGATGAAAGCCTCAAACGTCCACACATTCTTCTCCAGCTTCACTCCCCTTTAACTGTATGGCCCAGCCAGAGTGGAGCACATTGGGTGGAGGGAACTCATGCGACCCAACAAGGTAGTAGGTACTCTGTGGATGGTCCTTGATATTCAAAGACAAAGAGATCCAGGATTTCACTTGATTGGGTACTGGGGGAAGAACTGTCTTCAAGTGATGGTATGAGAAAGACATGAAGGGAGAGGAAAGCCTCTCAGCCGTGTTTACCCCGACCTCAAATGTGTACATGGGAAATTGACCCAAACTTCCCTCAGGGCCTCAGTTACACAGACTGTCATTCAAGGAAGGGTACCAGACACCCCACTGAGCAGCACACCTAACCTGTACATATAACACATGAAAATAGGCAACAGGCCGGGCATGGTAGCTCATGCCTGTAATCCCAGCATTTTGGGAGACCAAGGCAGATGGATCACCTGAGGTCGGGAGTTCGAGACCAGCCTGACCAACGGTGTTTCTCAACCCCGTCTCTACTAAAAATACAAAATTAGCCGGGCATGGTGGCGCATGACTGTAATCCCAGCTAGTTGGGAGACTGAGGCAGGAGAATCGCTTGAACCTAGGAGGCGGAGGTTGTGGTGAGCCAAGATCGCACCATTGCACTCCAGCCTGGGTAACAAGAGCGAAACTCCGCCTCAAACAACAACAACAACACAAACAAACAAACAAACAAACAAGAAACAAAAGAAAACAGCCAACAAGGCTTTTGAAGGCTGGCTTCCAAGGGATCCAGGGATCTTCCCAAGCAGTAAGAGCAGAAATCAGCTGAGTGCTGGCCTTTTGGAGAGTGGATGTGATTTGAGGGTTTAGGGAAGAGCTTTCCCCTTGGCCCTATGAAGTTTTCCTGAAAATCACTGACATGAAGCAGATTGATAGGAGAAAAGATGTACACATTTATTTAACATGTAGACACGGGAGCCCGCAGCATGAAGACCCCCCTCGCCCAGTGAGATTCAAAAGCTTGTATTCCAACCTGACAAAACAAGTTATGGACGGGGGAGAACAGGAATTCTGTTGGGGGGATTACTGGGGAGAATGAATAGATCAGGAAACAGAGATTAACCAGAAATAGTTCTCTTTGACAGCAAAAGGGTCTGTTCAGGTGTGGTTATATTCTTGGTCTTACAGAAAGGGGAAGAAAAAAACAATTATCTGGATCTCAGGCACATAAAGGAACTTCAGCTTCTTTGGGAGACACGATGGGAGTGGGGAAAAGGTCAGAGAGACCTTGAGGCTTCCGCAGTTCTGCATGTCGCCTCGCCATATTTTGGGGTATCAGTTTCTGAGCCCCCAAAAGGCAAGGAGGTGTTTCAGCAATCCATCCAGGTGCCATTTAACAGGATGTATCAGTAACCCAATGTGTCCTGTGGCACCTGCTAGGTAGGGATGCAGAGAAGCACTGTAACAGAGCCCGGAGCTGTACAGCCTTGCACCTGCAGCTTCTCATTCTGGGGAGAGAGCACTGAGCCTCCTCTCCTTTGCGGCCTCATGGCTCCATCCCTCCCGTCCCTGCTTTCCTTCCAGGGCCATTCTCTGCTTTTCTTCCAGGGCCATTCTGCTTCTCTGCCAACCGTCACTTGGGTCCCACTGGGCATTGGCTGCAGGAGAACCTGATTGGCTCAGGTAATCACCATCTCTTGGACACCGGCCAACCAATAGAGCAGCAGCATCCAGGTCAGGTGCCCACCCTTGGTCCAATCAGCTGTGGCCCAACTGCCGCAGGTCCCAAGGAGCAGGTGGTGTTTTTAAAGGGGGCTGCAGGTGAGCCAGGTCTTCTGGTGTCAACTACACAATAAAAGCGACACTTTCAGAAGAATTCTAATGAGAGAGCCGAGTCTTCTACCTGGGACGTGTGATTGAATTTTTCTGATGTGATGGCATATGGGATAAAATCTCTCCTGTGTCATCCTGTGGAGACTTGGTGAAGGGCTCATCACCCACACATCCTCCTGTCATTGGAGTTGTGTTTTGGAGGGAGTTTGGCTGTGCTGACTCAGATTTCCGGGAAGGCACAGGTTCAGAAAAGAGGCTGCTCCTGGGCGCCGAGCCACCACTGGTTACCTACAGAAAAACTTGAAATTTGGCAGTGAATGGAAGGGGAAAGTGGGCTGACTCTACTGGAGTAACAGGAGCATCTGTGCACAGCCCAGAGAGACCTGTGCAGATGGAGAGACAAACACGCCAACACACGCCTTGACAGACAGTGCGGGAAAGAGAGATCCTCTGAGAGCCACAGACAGCCACATGTAGGGAGAGCCAGAGAGATAGAGACACAGACACAGAGATAAACACTCACATGAAGCAACACACACAGTGGCACACAATCATTCACCGAAGCAAGCACAGGGCTCTAGGGAGCTTGCAGCTCAAGTGGAGCCAGGCTAGTGGAAGTGAACACTGCATTGTCCCTTGATGTGGGAAGCTGAGCTGTCTGCTACAAAAAGGAAAAGGCCATTTTCCCGATGATCAGGATTTCATTGTAAAGGAGTTGCTGGGCTTATCTCAAGAAAGGAGGGGCCGACGGGAGTCAATATAATCCATTTTCAGAGGAAACTGTTTTCTAAATTTGAGTCAATATAATCCATTTTCTTTCTTTCTCTCTGTCTCTCTCTTTTCTTTTTGAGATGGAGTCTTGCTCTGTCACCCAGGCTGGAGTGCAGTGGCAGGATCTTGGCTCACTGTAACCTCTGCCTCCCAGTTTCAAGCGACTCTCCTGTTTCAGCCTCCCATGTAGCTGGGACTATAGGCGCGTGCCACCACGCCCGGATGATTTTGTATTTTTAGTAGAGACAGGGTCTTGCTATGTTGGCCAGGCTGGTCTTGAACTCCTGACCTCAGCTGATCCACCCACCTTGGCCTCCTAAAGTGCTGGGATTACAGGGGTGAGCCACCGCGCCCAGCCAGTATAATCCATTTTCATAGGAAAATGTGTTTTCTAAATTTGAAAAGCAAAAGCCAAAAAAAAAAAAAAAAAAAAAAGCAATAGAAATACTGTTGGAGAAGTTGCCAAAATGCAGACAAGTTCTAAGCGTCTGTTTAGGCTGTGGCTCCAGCACTCAGAAAGGACCCCCCTCCGGGAACACTGGGGCAGTGGCCCTGAGAGGGGTGTCTTTACAGTGCTGTGACACTGGTCAGAGCCTGGAGAAATGGCCAGTCTCATCAGGGCCCACATTGCACAGAGAGATGGCTATTGTCTGTCTGTGGTTTGCACTGTGTAGCCACCCACAGGAGGGTTGAGCCGCAAAGGAATTGGATCCTTACTGTGTTGCAGCCATAGCCAGGCCCCAGGGGCAGGGCCAGTACCTGAACAGCTGAAGAAGGAAATGGATAAGTTGTCCTGCAGTAAGACGTGGAGCTCTGGGAGGCTGAGGTGGGAGGATTGCTTGAGCCTGGTAAGTCGAGGATGCAGTGAGCCAAGATTGTGCCACTGCACTCCAGCCTGGGTGACAGAGCAAGAAAAAAAAAAAAAAAGGTAGAGCTCACACTTGAGCCTTAGGGCTGCCATGTCTGGAAGGAATCTTAGAAGTTTTCTAGTCCAACCTTTTCCTTTTTTGCTGGAGAAAGCTGAAGCTGAGAGGCTAAGTGATTCCCCTGAGGCCCTGCAGTAAGTTAATGATGCCCTGGCAGACTCATGTATTAAAGGCTGGTGCCTCTCCACCTAGGCTAGTTTTTCCCCTTGGCGGGGGATCAGTTCTGTGGGTGGGGACAAAACCTGACGATAGGTACAAGGATCTCTAAGAAGGCTGATGAGAGGGTACTGGAAAACAGTTAAAGGAATATGTGCCCCATTTTCTGTAAGATCTCTCCTTTGGGCCCTTGATAAAGACTTTATTTTGGTCACAAAAAGGATAGGGTGGCTCAAGCGACCCCTTTCTCAGTCATAGAAAAACAATAGAAAACATAAGCCCTGCAGAGTATAGGTGATCTGGAGTCCCAGAATCAGGAAGACAGTGAGAAGAGACAGTCAAAGGATGGTATTCATGGGCAGCCTCCCAGCTTCCTCCTCCCCCAGTTGCTTGTGAATCACCAGTTGCTTGTTGATTTGGAAGCAAAGTGGCATCTGTTGGGAGAGGGATGAGCAATTCATCTAGGAATGAAAGGATAGGGATCTCAGATTGGTAACAGAGATCCTCCTTCACAACTGCAAAAGGCTTGCTGGACAGAGAGATATGTGGAAATCTGAAATTCCTGGCTGAAGTTAGCTTCTGGCTAAGCTCTTGATGGAACTTATCCATGATGTCCCCACCTCTTATTCATGTTCCCACACTGAACACACCATGACTATCACCATGGGTGCCCTCACTGCTCCCTGGATGGGAAGTCAGAGGATGTGGCCAAACTCTCCTCCATGCCGGGAGGTGGTGGAAATGTGGCTTCCAAGTTCACGGTGGTTTGCCTGAGGTCCTGCAGAGTCCTCAGAACCCAGGTGTCCAGGCTCCCTGTCACATTCACCCGAGAACCCAGGGAGTCTGGGAGAGCTGCTCTTCCCAGAAAGAGCATCACATTTACATCACTTAGGACCTGGGCCTGGGGCTGGGGCTATAGACAGAAAGGGAAATGCAGTGAAACAAATCTCGCTGGACCCCCTACCCCCTAAATGACTCCATTGGTCATTGAGATGAAAAAGCCGCAGAATTCTTTCAGCTCTCTTCCAGGATCTTCCTTTTGAATGCAAAGGAAGACTGGGAACTCTCTGCAGAGTAAAATGTGGGTCTCCATCTCAATGCCCAGAGACAAAAGCCAAAAAATGTGAAGAATTTCCAAAGAGCCTCCTTCAAACGGCATCTCCCCCCACCTCTGGCTGTGCTCCACAGGCGCCATGGATGGGAATGGCGACTTTCTCCTCCAGGCCCGGCTTGGCCTGTTGCCCACTCACTAAAAGCCTGGATGAGGAGAAATGAAATCAGGCATGGCCCCACTCAGCCCATGCACTTGTCCTCATGTAAGAAGATACTTCTGTGACCCGGCTGACTGATGGGCCTTGTGCGTGGTTCTGCCGGTACATGGCAGGGACGTTTCCATCAGGTAGTGCACACTCTTGGACTCCTGTCCCCAGTGGGAGCAGCCCCTGGGCGGGCGGGTCGAGCAGACAAAACACCCCACCTGCGCCGGGGCGGTGGAAACTTGTTCACTTTCCGAGGACCCTTTAGGAGGAGCACTCACTTGGCTCAGGGCTCTTTTGTTCTTCTCCTTTGGAGGCTGAACAAAAAAGAATAAGCTGCTGTTCTATCATAAGGATTGAAAAAGAGACAGGGAAAGAGTCCCAAGAATTCTCTCTGTAAGACGTCTTGAAGAGACTGAGTGACGCTTGATGTGGCAGGGGTCCTTGGCCATCTGGGTAAATGTCTGCCGGCCCTCACTCTGCCAGCTTATTTCACCGTGACCTCTTCTCCCTTCTCTGCAGGACATCGAGTTCTTTGGGGGTCACGAGGATCCCTCAGACGGTGAGAAAAAGCACAGAAGATGACAACTCATAAATAATCTTAGGGGAGAGGTTGGGAGTGATAAGAAATGGAGTACACAACCCGTAGAGGGCTGTTCCAGTTACCACATGACAATATTAGGGGAGTCGCCTCCCTCTCTGCCAGTACCCGCCTGGTTGGTGAACTTGCCTCCAGCTCTTTTTGCTCCCCTCTGGCAGACAGAATACTTTCCCTGAAGTACTGACTTAGTGGTGCTATTGCCAACTTCAGACTCTGCAGTAGCAGGCTATAGCTGCAGTGCCTGGCCCAGGGACCTTGGTGTGGCCCCGAAGGCCCCCCGCAGCCAGGGTGTCCTCCTCCCAGCCTCTACAACTCACCCTGCGAGGCCCTTTGATGTGGCCTTTTGACCTGGCCACCCACATCCACCACACTTCCCAATTATCCCACACCCCCGATTTCAATATGACATTTCACAAACTCCCCACGCCTTCTTCACTGCACATCCTGCTCACTGCATTCGCCTTGTGGCTTGGGTCACTTTTCCTCTTGGAAGCTTTTTGACAAACTCCACCTCCCCTCTTGGTGTCGGGTGACCCAGCCTCAGAACCTGCGCTGCTTGCCACTCTGTTAGTTGCTTACCCTTGGGCCAGTGATGGACCTTAGGGCCTCTTGTTTCCTGTGAAATGGGAATAACGACTACTCACCTTATAGGTTGTAGGGACCAAGGGAAGTCTAATAGGGTCTGACTATGTTGCCCAGGCTGGTCTTGAACTCCTGGCTCAAGTGATTCTCCCACCTCAACCTCCCTAGTGGCTGGAACTACAGGCATGAGCTACCGTGCCTGGCTTATTTTTTTATTTTTTGTAGAGATAGGGTCTCACTATGTTGCCCAGACTGGTCTCAAACTCCTGGGCTCAAGCCATCCTCCTGCTGCAGCCTCCTAAAATGCTGGGATTACAGGCGTGAGCCACCATGCCCGGCCTGGGTTTTTTTTTTTTTTTTTTTTTTTTTTTTTTGTGACGGAGTTTCGTTCTTGTTGCCCAGGCTGGAGTGCAATGGCATGATCTCAGCTCACTGCAACTTCCGCCTCCCGGATTCAAGCGATTCTCCTGCCTCAGCCTCCTGAGTAGCTGGGATTACAGGCATGTGCCACCACGCCCGGCTAATTTTGTATTTTTGGTAGAGATGGAGTTTCTTCATGTTGATCAGGCTAGTCTTGAACTCCTGACCTCAGGTGATCCGCTCACCTTGGCCTCCCAAAGTGCTGGGATTACAGGCGTGAGCTACTGCGCCCGGCCTCCGGGTTTTAATAAGTCCCCTGGGTGACTCTGAGGCACATTCAAGTTTGAGAGCCACTGCTGTGTTCTGTTGCTTGGGACACGAATGGTCTGCAGAATAGCGAAGGACTCCGACTCACCAAACCGCATGTGCTTCAGAAAGCCAGGCGGCTAACTCGCTAGCCTGATAAAATCCCTGTCCGCAGCCTCATTCCTCAGCCCTGACTCTCTATTCAGTCCCTAGAGATAGGTGTCTTTTAGAGGGCTCTTTTTATCCCCTAGCTCATCGGAAGAGGGAGAAAGTTTTGTCTGTACGCTTTGTCTGTGCATGTCCTCTCGCTGACATTTCGTGGAGCCAGGGGCTCAGATGATGGCCGGCAGAGCGGTAGTCAGGGTATTCCTCAGCCCTGTCCCTCTGAGCTGGTGTCAAGATTTCCCAGGAGGCAGACAGAAGGCGGCACTGGGTGGAGAGAGGGAATTCAGGCAGCATGTCTTGGCCTCTCTGGGAGCCAAGGGGGAAGATCCACCCTGCACCCAGCAGCTTTCCTCTCGGAGCAAGGGCTGCCTGTGTGGCCAAGAAAGGCGAGCCTGGTATGAATGGAGACCTTGTGCCAAAGACCTCACTGGAGCCGGGAGCCGCAACACAGGGGCTTTTCACAAGGAGCCTTACAACAGAGGCGGCATTGAGCGTGACGGTGGCTAGCGGGCAGGCGTGGGGTCTGGTGGACGCGTGGCATCGGTAGAACAACATTGCTGCTCCTCCTGACCCTGTCTCGGCTGGGGGTGGGGGGGCGCTCCTGGGTCTCTTCTCAGAGGGGAATACACTAAGAGTCATGTTGTCTCTAGCCGAGGCTGCCCTGACCCGCCTCGAGGGTGTTTGAGGCTCTACAGGGACACAGAATGTGAGTACAGGGGTCAACGTGCGCGTGGAGTAAGCTGGTGGGCTGGACACGAATGGGTTAAAGACAGCTGCTTGGAGACATCGCCAAAGCATGATTCCACTGGGGCCTAGGCTACCAGCAAAGGGAGGGTGCCAGATGCCTCTGTCTGTTGAAGGGGGATGGAATCCCAGTGTGCCCCCTCTGAGGGGTCATTGAAAGGTGACAGAGAGCTGCAGCCTTGCTGAGGGGCTGTGCAGGGGCTATGAGCCAGGGATGGAGGGCAACTGCCCAAGGGCAGTCAGGATCAGAAGACCATGGGGGTAGGGGCGTGGTGGGTCTAACACTTCCAAAGGAAAGGAAAGGTTTAATACTTCCCCATATATAGACACACCCTCTCTGTGTCCACCTATAGCCACCTTCTTTTTTTTTTTTTAGAAGACAGGGTCTCACTCTGTCACCTAGGCTGGAGTGCAGTGGCTTATCTGTGACATGAAAAAGACACCTCTGATTGGGCCTGGTGGCTTATGCCTGTAATCCCAGCACTTTGGGAGGCCAAGACAAACAGATCACTTGATGCCAGAAGCTCGAGGCCAGCCTGGCCAACATGGTGAAATCCCATCTCTACTGAAAATATAAAAATTAGCCGGGCGTGGTGGCGCATGTCTATAATCCCAGCTACTCTGGAGGCTGAGGCACCAGAATCACTTGAGCCTGGGAGGTGGGGTTGCAGTGAGCCGAGATCATGCCATTGCACTCCAGTCTGGGTGACAGAAGGAAACTGTCTTTTTTTTTTTTTTTTTTTTGTGATGAGATCTCGCTTTGTCACCTAGGCTGGAGTGCAATGGTGCAGCTTCTGCCTTCCATGTTAAAGTGATTCTCCTGCCTCAGTCTTCTGAGTAAGCTGGGATTACAGGTGCACGCCACCACACCTTCCATGTATTTTTGTATTTACATTTATTTTGTATTTCCATGTATTTTTGTATTTTTAGTAGAGACGGGGTTTCACCATGTTGGCCAGGCTGGTCTCGAACTCCTTATCTTGTGATCTGCCCATCTCAGCCTCCCAAAGTGCTGGGATTACAGGCATGAGCCACCGTGCCCGATCAGAAACTCTGTCTTGAAAAAAAAAAAAAAGAAAGAAAGAAAAAGAAAAAAGGAAAAAAAAAATCTTCAAAGACTGAATCCAAGGCCAGAAATCTGGTTGGGCAATTCCAGGCTAGCTGACTTTCTGTGGTTCAAGAGGTACTGATCATGGCTCACTGCAGCCTCAACATCCTGGGCTCAAATGATCCTCCCACCTCAGCCTCCCAAGTAACTGGGACCACGGGTGTGTGCCACCACACTCAGCTAATTTTTAAATTGTTGGTACAAATGGCATCTCTCATATTGCCAGGGCTGATCTCGAACTCCTGGGCTCAAGCGATCCTCCCGCCTCAGTCTCCCAAAGTGTTGGGATACAGGTGTGAGCCACTGTGTCCTGCCCAGCCAACGCTTATTTACCCAATGTGGTTAATCAGTGAATTCGCCAGATCCCTGGCTTCCTCTCTTTTTTTGAACCTGTTCTTTTCTAGGGTAACCAAGTGTCCCAGTCTACTTGAGACCAAAGGATTTCCCAGGACACGGGATAGGCATATATACACACACACACGTATGTCCAGCATTCTTCACACTCATTTCTTTATCTGCTCCAGTAGAATGTGGCCTCCTTCAAGGAAGGATTGCTTTACTTTTCTGTATCAGCTGCCACATGGAAGGTGCAATAAATATTTGCTGAGAAACAAATGAGCCAATTAATTCCATCCAGGTGAGAGAATTAAGAAAGACTTCATGGGCAAGGGGGCCTAACATGTTGGCTTGGATAAACCAGGGCGAACTTGAGCACTGGCCTTGTGGGAGGGAGAGGTTTGGCATCAAGTAGAAGTCAGGCCTGAGTTTCTCCTGGTTGTCCGCCCTCCACCCCAACCCCTGTACTGCCCCTCCTGTCTCCACGGCAGCCCTGAGTCAGCTCTCCTGGGGTCTGTTCCCTGGATTCAGGCTGGGTGACTGTGGCAGTAGTGTGGTGGTGATGCCCTCACTCCTTGGAGCTCGTTGACAGGCAGGCCCAGGAGATCTGGGAGCAGTCCTGGAGGTCTTGCAGGCCCAGCCCTCTGAGATGACAGCTGTCTTGGGGTCACTTGATTTTTAGGAAAAATGCTGTTGTGTTTTCAGTCCTCTACCAGAGACAGACAAACACTCCCGGCCAGGCCATCTTGGGGCCTCCCCTGGGGCCCTGCCCAGGCCTCTGAGTTGGCTGATAGACTCTCACAAGCTCAGGTTTGGGGGTGGGGTGCTGAGGAGGCTTCTGAAGAAAAGACTGGGGCCTGACATGGTGGTTTAACACCTGTAATCCCAGCACTTTGAGAGACCGAGGCAGGCGGATCACCTGAGGTCAGGAGTTCAAGACCAGCCCGTGCAATATAGTAAAACCCCGTCTCTAGTAAAAAGTACAAAAAGTTAGCCAGGCATGATGGTGTGTGCCTGTAATCCCAGCTACTCAGGAGGCTGAGGCATGAGAATCATTTGAACCCAAGAGGTGGAGGCTGCAGTGAGCTGAAATCACGCCACTGCACTCTAGCCTGGGTAACAGAGTGAGATCCCATCTCAAAAAAAAAAAAAAAAAAAAAACCAAAAAAAAGGCCAGTCGTGGTGGCTCACGCCTGTAATACCAGCACTTTGGGAGGCTGAGGCAGGCAGATCACGAGTTCAGGAGATCGAGACCATCCTGGCTAACATGGTGAAACCCTGTCTCTACTAAAAATACAAAAAATTAGCCGGGCATGATGGCAGACACTTGTAGTCCCAGCCACTCTGGAGGCTGAGGCAGGAGAATGGCGTGAAACCAGGAGGCGGAGCTTGCCAGTCGGCTGAGATCAGGCCACTGCACTCCAACCTGGGTGACAAAGCGAGACTCCATCTCAAAAAAAAAAAAGAAAAAGAAAAGATTGAGGCCAGAGGGGAGTAGAGGGGAGGACTCAGGTGAGCACCAGGCAAAGCCAAGGCCT